CCAGGGCGGCGCCCCTGCCTGCCCCGAGCGCCCGGGGCCGTGGTCACCCCAGGAGGATTCGCCAGCTGTCTCCCCTTTCCCGCCAGGCCTCCGACTTCCGGTCAGAGGGTGTGACTGGCCGGGCCACTGGTCCCTGCCCTCGGGCCAGAAGCCAGTCCTGGGGCCTCTGACCCCTGCCCCTGCCCCTGCCCCTGCCGTCGGGAACAAGCCAAGTTCTTTCCATCCTCCTGCCTGCCTAGCCTCACCCTGGCTGGGCCAGTCCTAACTCCTCTGACTCTGGGCCCCAGTCTGTCTCCCAGAGCCCTGGACAGAGCAGTGGGCCAGCTGGACCTCTGCCTGTGAAGCGTGGGGTGGGGGGCGAGGGGGAGGCCTGTGCACTGGAGGAGATGGAGTTTAAAGCCACAGATTACACACTAGTGGAACCAAGGCTGGGGGTGCTAACAGACACCCCCCCTCCGCCCAGGCCTTTGCTACATAGACCCCATTCTGGTCCTCACCCCAGCTCTGGCCTCTGGGCCTCCCCAGCGCCCTCCTCCCCTGGAATGCCCTGCTTTGCCATCAGACCACTACCTGATGGTCATTCCCAGCCTGGGGTTCCACACTGGCATCTGGTGTCCTCTGCACAGAATTGTATGATAAACAACTTTAGGAAACACCTGAGACTGACGCTGGTATTTTTAAAGTCCCTTCACTGCCCCACATTGTGTCTTGGTGTCTGTGTTTGTGGAGGCGATTCTGTGGGCCCCTTCAGCCCCTGGGTGCCACCATAGGGTCGCAGCTGAGCTGCCAACCAGCCGCCTTGGCCCCCCTCTGCTCGGCGACTGAAGGCTTAACTGGGCCTGTTTGGCGCCAGCAGGCGACTAGGCAAACCTCACGTCCTTCCCTTCCCGTGACAATCCCACGCATTTCCAGGACCACCCAGGAGAGAACGTGGCCAGGACAAGAAAACCCAGAAGCAGGAGGCTGAAGTTGTCAGACCAAGCACTCCAGACTGGTGTTTACACACTGGCCAGGAGTAATCATTTTAATCTTCACAAAACCTCGCAAATCCTGGTCCCCACACAGCCTTCCCCCCACCCTGCGCCCTATGCTGGTCACTCTTATGTCCGAACCCCGCCTTACCTGGGTGTCTGATACAGGAGGGTTGCACTTCCATCTTTCGCCAGCAGGCGGTGGTAGTTTCTAGTCTGGCAGGCTTCTGGCAGACCCTTGCTGTCCCTCTGGGTGGAGAGATGTCCTGCAGGGATGGGGCACTGTTAGTCCCGGGGGAGGTCGAGTCTCCCTGGCCTCCTGGGCCCTGGCAGAAGCTGGTCCTCAGCTGTGAAGTGGGGATTGGGCCAGGGCCTCCCAGCACTGAGCCGCCCCGAGCTGCCCAGGGGAGACCTTGATGCTGGAGAAGAGCGAACTGAGCAGGATGTTCGTGACCTTGTCAGGCTCAGACCAGAGCCCAGGACCAGACAGGCCGCCCGCCCATTCCCGGCCCTGCCACTTACTTGCTGGACCCGGCCACGCATGCCCAGATGCTTCCTTCCTCTGGGTCCTCCAGGGCCCACTTCCTCCAGACGGTGTCGGAGTTTGGGCAGACAGACAAGGGAAAGGGTGTCACCACGGCCCCTCATACCTGCTCCCGGCTGGACAGTGTCCTGCTGAGGAGCTGGGGTGGGGGGTGGATACCCACCTCCTGCTTAGGCCTGGAACCTCAACCCCAAAAGCAAAGGGCAGCTCAGCCCGGAGCTGTCCTGGCTGGGGAAGATGGAAGGTGGGGAAGCAAGAAGAGAGGACCCTGGAGGGGAAAGACCGGAGGGGAGCGGAGGAAAACCAGTGTGTGGGGGGAGAAGGGCCTGGGGGGCTGGAGGGGCCAGGGGGCCGGAAGAAGACAGACGCTGGGCTAGGAGGAGAACAGGATCAGGGGGCCCGAGAGGTTGGCAGAGGGGTCCTAGGTGCCCAAACTGGAAGAGGGGCTGGGCGAGGGCAAGGGAGTGAGGAGGGTGCAGAGTAGCAAGGCCAGACGCCCTGGGGAGTGAGCAGCAGGCGCCAGAGGGAGGCACCAGCGGAAGAGCCCACCAGGGCCCATGCAAGCCCACTCGCAGGGCTGGGGGCTTAAGTTGTCACACCGGGGAGCTGGGGGGCCAGGAGTGGGGCCAGGAGGCCCTGGGGGGAGGACATGGGAGGAGGCTGGTGGCAGAAGGGAACAGATGGGTCGGGCCCTGGAAAGGGGAAGGAGTGGGAGCAGCCATGGCCCCACCCCATCCCCCATCCCATCCCAGGCGCCTCTGCTCTGCTCCCTGGGACCCCTGAAGCTGGGCGGCCTCTGTGCAGGGGAGAGGAAGGGCCAGAGAGACCCAGAGAGGCACCGGGTCAGGGCCCTCCATTCAGGGTGCCTGGGCCCCTCCCCCCAGGCCCCAGGCCAAGCAGCGGGGACCAGGAGGGGCAGGAGTGGGGGCTGCTTAGACCAGGAACTGGCCCAGGACACCCACGGCGCCCCTCCTGGTCAGAGGTAGTAAGAACCAGAGGGAATAAAGGCCAGACTGGGGGTGGGGGTTAGTGGGGGCCCCCAAGGTGTGTGTCAGGCAGAGGCAGCCTGAGGGGCTGGGGGGACTGGCGGCTTAGGCTTAGCTGGAGAGGGGGGATTGCCTGGAGGGGAGTGGAGCACAAGACCCCGGAAGAGGCAGAGAGGAGAGTGGGGAGAGCAGCAGGGACCCCGGGAGAAAGGGGACAGACACAACGGTGGGGGGGCTCAGGACAGTACTGGAGGAGGCACGGAGAGCCCCCTGGGGGCAGCTGGCCGGCCCACAGGGCGCCAGCTCTCCCAGTCTGACCTCAGCCTCCTCACCTGGGCAGGCCCCGAGCCCCTGGGGTCACCTGTGGGCAGGCCCTGGCGGCTCCCCTCCCCCAGGCGCTGCCTCGTCCACCTGTCCTACCCCTGGGGTCCTCCAGCCCCTGCCCTCTCCCTCTCCCCAGCAGGCGCTTCCCCCTGAGAAAATCAAGTCAGGGCAAACACCCGGCGGCTTGCTGTGCCCTGCGTGGGGGGGCTCTGGGCCCCGGCCACTGAGCCCCCTTTCTGCCTGCAGAAGCCAGGGGTCCCCTGGACACAGGGAGGAGGGAAGGGCTGGGAGCCAGGGCCCGAGGTGCACACAGCGGGTGCCTGGCCAGTGCCACCCCTTTCCCGAGGAGCCTGAAGGGGCAGCCAGGGAGGAGGGCGCAGGCCGCCAGCTCAGCAGCCTGGTGGGCAGTGAGCGCCCACCCCTCCTGCAGAGGGCAAGTCAGGACGCAGCGACCGCCACAGCCTACCGGCAGGAGCAGAGGCCAGTGGCCGGGAGAGGGCGCGGCGCTGCAGGGGTCAGGGCTTCTCCCTGGGCGAAAGGGAAGACAGGCGAGTGGGGAGCCCCGACAGAGAAGGGTGAGGCTGGGAGGGGAGAGGCCAGGGAGCACGAACAGAGTACACAGCAGGTGTCTAATAA